GTGACAATCAAGAAGAGCATAATGGGGCCACAAAATCTACCATGCTGAGCAATAATAAATCAACTCTGGTCTCAAAACCACTAAGAGCAATCAAACACGACCGATAAACGCGGTCCACAACAAGAGAATCTCCCACAGGAGTAGACACATAAACAGGGGAACTCAAAGAATCCCGAGATACGCCCAAATGCGGGGCAAAATAAGAGGACACATAGGAATAAGTGGAGCCTGGATCGAATAGAACCGATGCATCTCTATGACAGACCGGAACAATACCTATAATGACAAAATCGGAAGCACCAACCTCTATACGAGTAGGAAGGGAATAGTATCTGGCCTGGCCTCCCCCTCCAGGGCGACCTCTACCTCCTCGACCTCTACCTCGAGCTGGCTGGGCAGATAGGGTGGTAGCTAGTGCTGGAATCATGGCATGAGAATCCTGTGAAGCACGCTATGGCTGAGAAGTCTGTGGAGGTGCACCCCTCCTAAGTCTGGGGCAATCCCTCACCACATGGAGAGTGTCTCCACACTCAAAACAAGCTCCGGGAGGACATGGCGATTATGGCTTGCTCGGGCCAGGTCTGCTGGACTGGCCGCTAAAAGCACCCTGTGTAGGAGGCACACTAAATATTGGCGGTGCATAATAAGGCTCTTGAGGTCTAGGAGGAGCTGGAATACTACTGGCGGCTGGAAGAGCTGAATGACTGGGGCGACTCACATAACCCCTACCATAATGAAGTGCATCTGGGGCACGGGCACCAGAATAATGGCCCGACTCCCGAGACCTCTTGGCCTCTCTCTCCTCCCTATCCCGAGCAAGCATGCCCCCCACTCTCCTAGCAATACTCACCACCTACTGATACGGGATATCCATCTCTAACTCTAGGTCCATGCTAGTCCTGATGCTGGGAATGAGTCCCTCAATAAGCCGGCGAACCCTCTCTCGAAGTGTAGAAACCAAGGCCAGTGCATGTCTAGCTAAGTCACTGAAATAGACTGCATACTCTGAAACAGTCATAGCACCCTGGCGCAACTGCTCAAACTCCACGCGCCATGCGTTCCTGAGGCTCTGAGGGACATACTCTCTTAAAAACATGTCGAGAACTAAGTCCATGTAAGGGAAGCTGCCTCAACCAGACTGTCTAACTCATAAGTACGCCACCACTGATAGGCTGCTCCTCGAAGCTGAAAGGTAGTTAAAGAAACCTCACTCGACTCCGCTATACCCATAATGCGGAGGATACGGTGGCACTCCTCTAGAAATCCCTGATCATCCTCTGATGCTAGACCACTGAATGTAGGAGGGTCGTACTTCTTATACCTCTCGAGTCAACGCTCCTCCTTCTCTGAAGCTGCTGCCTTACCCTCGGGTTGAACTGGGGCTACAGGCGGTACCAGTATAACCTCTGGGATCTGATCAACCTAAACCCGCTGCTCTGGGGTACTAGGCGGCGGGAGTCTGTGCTCCTCCCCCGGCTTGAGATGTGGCTGCAGCAAGGGGAATCAACCCTGCCTGAGCTAGAGTGTTATACATGATCATGAATAGTGCAAGGGTCTCCTGAAGAGCTGGAGTAGTAGTAGTAGGCGTATCAGGCGCCTGTGCTCCGACTAGAGCTGCTGGTGGCTCCTCTATAGCAGCTCGCTCGGGTGCTCTGGCTGCACCACGTGGGCGTCCTCGGCCTCTACCCCGGCCCCGGCCTCGGGCGGCTCTAGCAGGGGGCACGGGTGCTTGGTCATCTTCGGTAGCACGTGTCCTCACCATCTGTGAGAGAATAGAAGACAGAAGTTTAGAATTTCGAAGTTAATAATCTCGCAAGACAAAGAATCAAATGAAGTGGAATTTCCTAAGAGTTCCATAGCCTCCCGAAGATAAGTACAGGCGTCTCCATACCGACCCACGAGACTCTAATATACCGACTTGTGACTCACAACTCCTATGAACCTAGAGCTCTGATACCAACTTGTCACGACCCAAGTTACCCCCTCCACCCCCCCCCCGTGAACTGTCTTGACGGCACCTAGTCTTTACGACTAGGTAAGCCTAATAATTGCAGAAATGAAATGAAAACATAAAGACAATAGCTAACAGATATCTTTAGTAAGCAGAAAAGGTGCCACTCGGCATGTACAATAATCACTTTCCCAAAACCCGGAATATCGTAAGTCACAAACTTCTAAGAAATTCTAACTGCTCTATACTGATGTCTGAAGAAAACAAGGGAAAAGTTAACATAAGGGGATAGAAGAGGACTCCGAGGTCTGCGGGCGGGGGCAGATGTACCTTGAAGTCTCCTGAAGCAGCACCACGCGACTAAACTCGAGGCTGGTAGGAGGTACGTGGATCTGCACATGAAAAACATATGCAGGGAAGGTCATGATTACACCACAACGGTACCTAGTAAGTGCCAAGCCTAACCTCAGTCGAGTAGTGACGAGATCAGGGCAGGGCCCTATTGGTATAAATATAATGAAATAAGACAGAATAAAATATCACAGTAAAAATAAATAAGGAATCAAACAGGAATAGAATCAATGAAAGGCAGCAACTTAGAACACAGTGATAGCAACAGGGGATATCCCAGGATACCGTCCCGTAGTCCCAAACGTTAATGTGCAGTGGGATCTCCCAGAATACCGTTCTGTTGTCCCAAAGTAAATATGCAATGCTGGGGGATCTCCCGGAATACCATTCCGTAGTCCCAAAGTAAATATGCAGTACAGGGAGATCTCTCGAAATACCGTTCCGTAGTCCCAAAGTAAATATGCAGCTCAACCAATAGAAATAACAGTTACAGCAAGAAAACCACAATTTAGGCTAAGTTTGAGTCAAGGAAGAACAGGAAATTTCACTAAAACATGTTGCATAGAGTTCAGATAGGCAGTTAAGGCAGTCAAGGCAGTTAAGGCACGTAGGCATGCTTTGCTAAACTAAACAAGATGATTACATATGCTAGTGTAACTCAATTAATGGAAAACAGATATTTTGCTTAATGAAAAAGGAGTTTTTCAACAAATAGCCCGTGTACGCACTCATCACCTCACATACACGACGCTCACATATCAAACAATACCAAATCCTAAGGGGAGTTCCCACACACAAGGTTAGGCAAGCCACTTACCTCGAACCAAGCTCAAATCAATCCGTCACAATGCTCTTTCCACGAATATCTGACTCCGAATTGCTCAAATCTAGCCAAAACCAATTACATAACATAAATATAGCTACAAGAAACTAATCTAGCTAACGAAATCAAAGCTAAGAAAATTAGGAAAACGCCCAAAAAGCCTCCCCGAGACCACATCTCGGAATCGGGTAAAAGTCACAAATTATGAACACCCATGCACTCACGAGTCTAACCACACCAAAATTACTCAAATCCGATACCAAAATTTCGATCAAAACCCCAAAATTCGGCCTAAGAACTTTTCTCAATTTTTCTCAAATTTTCACCCCAAATACAAAATTAAATGATGAAATCAAGCATAGATTAGTGGGATATAATCATAGAGGAGTTAGGAATCATTATCTAATGACTTCCTCTGAAAATCTCTCAAAATTTCGCCTTCTACCGAGCTCCCAATTTAATTTTGTGATATGAACTCAAACCCTCGTTTTTGAACTTTAAAACCTGCTCAGGTACGCCCTTCTTCGCAAACGCGGTCAAAGCCTCGCGTTCGGGAAGCACAAAAAAATCCACTGCTCAAATTTCCTCTTTCGCGAACGCGAGTTTCCTCTGGCGAACGCGTAGCTTCACTTGCCAGACCCTTCGCGAATGTGTCCTCCTCTACGCTAACGTGTAGCACAATTTCCTGAGGTCCCAGCTATTCCATTTCCTCTACGTGAACGCGATGCCATTCACGCGTTCACGATAAACTGATGGCTAAACCTTCGCGAACTTGTCCCTTTACTCGCGAACGCGAAGAGAAATTTCTTCTCCTGCCCCAACTCTTCTTCGCGAATGCGAAGAACAAACTTCTGCAACAAAAACCAGCAAAATCTGCTATCTCTCCAAAGTCCAAAATGACCCGTTAACCACCCAAAACTCACTCGAGGCCCCCGGGACCTCAACCAACATACCAGCCAATCCTAAAACACCATACGAACTTAGTCGAGCCCTCAAATCACATCAAACAACGCTAAAAACACAAATCATCCTCCGATTCAAACTTAAAGAACTTGAAAACTTTAAATTTCCACATCCGATGTCGAAATCCATCAAATTACGTCCGATTGACCCCAAATTTTGCACACAAGTCATAATCAACATTACGGATCTACACCAACTTCCGAAATCGGATTCCGACCCCGATATAAAAAATTCCACTACCCTGTCCAAAACTTCAAAAATTTGACTTTCACCATTTCAAGCCTAAACGAGCTACGGACCTCCAAAACACAATCCGGACACGCCTCTAAGCCTAAAGTCACTCAACGAAGCTAACGGAATCGACGAAACTCCATTCCGGAGTCGTCTTTACACAGTTCCGACTACGGTCCAAATTCTAAGACTTGCCTCCATTTAGGGACTAAGTGTTCCAAAACACTCCAAAACCCAAAATGAAATCTCCTGGCAAGTCACAATAGCAGAAATGGATACGGAAAAAGCTGTTAATAGGGGATCGGGGCTCTAACTCTCAAAACGACCGGCTGGTTCGTTACTGTATAGTATTACAGATTGCTAACATTAAATTACACCTGCGATGTAAAAACTCATTACCCTCTACGTAAATGTATATTTTACTTTGTGCGCGTAGAAGATAATTAAACTCATTAGAATAAACGAGACTTGGCCAGTTGACCAGTTGACCTTAGCTTCACTCTTGGGAGGAATGAAAACTGCAAAGGCGTAAATATTTAATTAGAAGGCTGCTAATAACATGCTGACAACCTTGGATTTCCACCATATGAATATATATATATACTATCAATCACCATTTCTCTCAACAGTAGTGTTTCTTAGCTTCACAACAGATTACTACTCAACATGAAATTGGGAGAGATGAGACAGTTTTGTAGCACAAATCCATATTGCGTTGGTTTTCTTGCTTTTATTACTTCCTCAGCTATAGCTTTCTTGTCTCTCACAAATCACCACGACGCTTCTTTCGCTTTGCTTTCTCGGCTTTCAACTTCTCTGCCACCTTCCATTCCTAACCCTATAACAGCTCTCTACCCCACTTTCAATGTAATAACAATAGTTATTTCTACATTTACTTCTTCTTTTAGAACAATATATTTTGTTTGTTGGTGTTATGGGATTGTTCCATGTAATAACTTAATTCTCATCTGAACAACTTTTTTTTTTGTTGGTGAAATAGAATGCAAAAATGCAAAGAGCAATGGCGAATCTGATAAAGGAGTTGAAAACAGAAACAAAGTTGAGAAGAGAGAAGAAGAAGAAAGATGAGAATACGGAGAAGATAGAGAAGCAGGTCTTTCTAGTGCCAGAGCTTTAATAAGAGAAGCCCTTCTCATGAATGGCGGCAATGAGTCACCATATGAAGATGCAGATTACGTTCCTCAGGGGAACATTTACAGGAACCCCCATGCCTTTCACAGGTACGTATACGGTATACGTATACTATCCATATATTCCTTGTGTTTTATGTGTCTAATTAGTTTAATTAAGCATGTTGTTTAAGAATGGAAAGCAAATTACGAAGATGTATATAGCATACCAAAAAAACCTTCTAAATCTTGTGATATTAAATATGCCTCCCATGGTTGAAGCCTGAAATCTAGAGTAAAACTTGGTTTTAGTGCTCCTTTATGGGGAACTAAGGACCGGTTAAAAGTACCCCCTCTTTTCATTTGTAGATGGGATTTTTACCTAGTTATACTATAATAGAAACATATTTACTATCTTTATTTAGGTTATTTATTAATTACTTTATATACCTATATTTACTAGTTTTATAAAAAATCATAAAAAGGAGGAAATGAAACATACCTTAAATATTGGGTATCAGTTACACATAATCCCCCTACATTTAAGATACTCTTCCTTTTTCAAAGGATTACAAAACATCATTTGTCTCTGTACTTACCCACCGTAAGAAACCCACTGATACCCAAAATCATTACCTCTCTTTCATACAAATCAACCAATATCTCTCTCCCTCCCTCATACAAATCAAACTATTATATCTCTAAAATTGTAGCATCATTTATTTCTCTGAATCAATTCCACCAACAACCATTAAAAAGCTTCAACTATTGGTAAATCCATCAACATTATCTCTAAAATTGTAGGTGGAGGGGTCTGCCATTGACATACCATTAAAAAGCTTCGAAGCTTTGAATTAGATATTCAGATTTTATGAATTTGTGATTTTTTTGGATTGGGTGTTCTTGAAAACGATTGAAGATATCCTTTAGAGTTTATATCTCAATTTTAAGGGAGATTCGTTAAGTTTAAAGTTGGTTTTAGGTTGAATTTCTGATTGAAACTCGAGGAAGAAGAAGTTTCGGAATTGTATTACGATTGTATGATAAATGTATCATAATTGTATCTGAGTTGTATTTGATACGTCAATACCTAAGACAATTATGATACAATACTAATACTATTAAAATACAATATTGTATCATAATTTAAGTTTAGAGTTGGTTCTAGGTGGATGTTTTAAATTGAGACTTGAAAAAGATGAAGATCAAAGTTGTATCATAATTGTATCGCAATTTGTACCTAAAATAATATATGATACAATGCTAATACAAATATAATACGATAGTATTAGTTTAAGTTTAGAATCGATTTTAAGTTGTATCATAATTGTATTAGAATTGTGTAATACTTTCGGGATTGTATCAAATTTGTATCTGAATAATGAGTAGTTGTGAGTTCGTGACGAATTTCACAGTTTATATCACAAATATATGATAATTATATATTAATTTATTAGTATTGTATCAGGTATTATTTTGGATATTAATGTACCATCTACAAGTTAGATACAATTGTGATACAAGTATGATACAATTATGTTTTACGCATTGATATATCTGATACAATTCAAATGCAATTATGATACAATTATCATATAATCCCTGAATATTTTTTCATTTTTAGTGTTGTCCGGTCTCCCAACAAAAAAATAATGCAATTGATGATTTAATAATATAAAGTTGTCGCCAATGGTGGGAAGAGAGAAGATGGAGATTCTAGGTATAGATTAAGGAATTTTGATGTAAAAAACAAGGAGAGAGAAGAGGAAAGGGAAAAAAGGAAAGGATATAATTGAATCCCTTAATTGAAGGCACTAACAATGAGATGAGAGCCTTTTAAGGAGAAATCTACACAATTTGTAAGAAAAACCTAGATANCCTGCTGCTGCTCTGCTGCTGGGACATGAGCTGGATCAAGGACAGGCTGAACCACCTGTGGAACACTGGATGTACCCTCCTGAACCTGGGCCACCTCTATCACAACTCCCTCAGTGCTAGGGAGTTTCCTCTTCTTCCTAGGCTTGGGAGTCTCCTCCTGTTGTGGCTGAACTGCTGCTGGATCTACAGCTGGCTCCCCGAAGAGTAAGTCAAGTGGCATCTGATCCGCCAAGAGCTTATCTACATCCTCCCTCAACTTCGTCACTGACTCCTTGGAAGCCTTTTGGTTCCTCAATTTCCTGTGCTCCCTAGCTAGTTTACCCAATGCTGTGCTGTGTGCCCCAACTGCCTTAGCCAAGGCATTCTGTGTCTCCATCATCTTTTCCTGGTTGGCCAGGATCTTCTTCAGTGTCTCCTCAATAGAAGGAGGGATCTCAACTGTGGAAGGGGCTGACTGTGCCTGAACTACAGTGGCCAAGTTTGACAACTTGGATGTCGCAGCTGACATCCAGTTGTTCAAACTGGCTAGAGACTGAGCAAGTTGGTGGGCAGTGAACCGGTGAGTCTTCGATGAAGGGACATCCGGGTCCGCGGCAGTAGATGGACCAGCAATAGTAGAAGGACCCTGAGGCAATGTCTAACTGGTAGCAGGGATGGTGGAAGGCTCGGTGGGCTACTCAATAACCGCTGGCTCCTCAGACTGGCTAGGTGCCGTGGAAGTGGATGCATGAGGCTTTTTGGACCTCTTTGGGTTGTCGGGACCCAACTGACTGTACCATGAGTAGGGGGCCACCGGATCTACCTTGACATCAAACCTCTTCTTCTTCACCTTCAATTCTCTAAAGTACAAGGAAAGAGTGTTCGGGAAGGGGTAGTTTGTGTTGGTCTCCTGCCCGACCGTAGAAATCACCCTTGACATGATGTTGCCCACATTCAGAGGAAAACCAGCCATAATAGATGCCACTAACACTGCACGGGGAATAGGAACTGTGTGATCATGAGTGGAGGGGTCAAGCCTACTACACACGAAGGTCAACCAACCCTTTGCTTCAAAACTGAACGTGTTTCTCAGAATCTTCTCCCCTGCTTTCAACCAAACTGGGACAGTGCCCGGGGCTGCCAAGTGCTGGGCCAACCAAGGACGAACTTCTTCTTTCATTGCCAGCTTTTCTAAGTATTGGGTTTCGTCCTCTTCGTTGAACCCCAAAAACTCATTCAGAGACTTCCCATCAAACATCACCACTTTGTCTCTCACTTGTGTCGCCTTTGAGTCTTTCACTACATGATGAACATTGCAGTATAATTCTTTCACCATATGTTCATTTGCGACTATGCAACGTTCCTTGAAGAAACCCCAACCCTCTATAGTACGGAATTGTGCTTGCACATGTGGGTTTAGAGGAAGAAGATCAGAGTCAATAAATTGCCTCTCCGGAATCAATTTTCTTTTGGGCCACCACTCTCGAAATCTGTGGAAGGCTATTTCACTTACAAATCTATCAGCCCATGCTTCCGGTTTTCTTGTTCTATCAACACCACCAACTTGGGGCTCACCCCCCTCACCGTATACTCCACTCTCCCCAGATAGTGAAGGTGTGGGGGAGGTGGAGTATAGTTCTGCACTTTTAACTTCGGAGTCATCAGACGATTCCAAAACTGCATTCACCGGTCTTTTGAGGTTTTTATCAACAAATGTACTCTCCGACAATCCGACTATAGTGCTCGAATCTAGGTCTATCTTGGTACCAGGGGCGGATGCACAATGGTACTTACGTGTTCAATTGAGCCCATATCTTTCGACTCAGCATAAAAATTTATTAAAATTGCAAAAATAATAGATTTGAACTCATAACTTTAAAAATATAATGGGTTCAATGTTAAAAATCTTAAAAGTTGGACCCATAGAGTTTAAATCCTGGATCCACCTCTAGTTGGTACTTGTCTTCCATTACGAAATTGGTTTAGTCCTTGACTTTAATACCACTAATCCTGTTTTAAGTTTAACTAGCCTGGGATACTTCCGCAGTTTTTACCTTAGCTATTTTTACAGGCAAGAGAAGATTACGTTGTAGGAAATTAGTATATCACCATAATTTTAAATTTGTAGCAGCACAAAGGTTTTACACATGTCGTAGGTGTAAAGTTTCAAGTTCATCAAATTCTTGCTCTTTAGTACCTTCTCTAAATAGCTATATATCCCAATTTTCAAGGCTTCTATCTCCTGCGTCATTCAAGTGGACGAGCAGTTTTTTTTTTCCTTTCTTTTTTCGGCAGGCCATACATATGTTGGGGGAACTACACAGTTAGCCACTAATTAGAGATGTCTTTACTTTTTAGCCACTGTTTAAAATATATTTACTTTTTAGCCCGTGCTTAATAAATTTTTATCCGCCCGGACGAAAATATCCTTGTGCTAGACATGGATGCTGTGTAAATATTAAGGACATGGTGTCCTTAACTTCATGAATACTGTGTGAATATTAAGGACAAAGTGTCCTGTCATGTCCTTAACTTCATATGTGCAGTGTAAATGTTAAGGACATGGCGTCCTTAACTTCATGTGTGCAGTATAAATGTTAAGGACATAATGTCTTTAACTTGTATTTGTACCTTTTATTGCTAAACTTTAGGACCTCATGTACTTAACTTCATATATGCAGCGTAAATGTTAAGGACATAGTGTCCTTAACTTTATGAGTGTTGTGTAAATATTAAGGACATGGTGTCCTTAACTTCATGAATGCTGTGTAATATTAAGGACAAAGTATCCTGTGTAGTCCTTAACTTCATATGTGCAGTGTAAATGTTAAGGACATGGCGTCCTTAACTTCATGTATGCAGTGTTGGCTATTCCACGCTATTTCTACTATACATGTTGGGTATAGGTCCTGCAAAGAGACCTTCCTTTATTAGCATGAGAGTCCAATGTGTTGGCTCAGAACACATAGTATTCTATTCATTTTGGAATCTTAACATAAATAACCAGTCGGATTCACTGTTTACATTTTCAGCCAGTATGTTCATCCCTGTGTACTCAAAATTTCTAGCTTCTGTGCAAGTAATGCAGGAGTTATTTGCTAATGGAGAAACTTGTGTACAAAGAAGGAGAACCGCCTCTATTTCACTATGGTCCTTGCAAGAATATATACTCAATGGAAGGCATGTTCATTAACCTAATGGAAGCAAACAACCATTTTCAAACTCTTCATCCTGACAAAGCTCATGTCTATTTCCTTCCCTTTAGTGTTGTTATGATCCTCGAACACCTTTTCGATCCAATCATTCGCGATAAGGCCGTCTTGGAACGCATTGTTCGTGATTATGTTCGTACTGTATCGACAAAATACCCATACTGGAATAGAAGCCTTGGAGCTGATCATTTTATGCTTTCATGCCATGATTGGGTAAGTACGTTATTGAATTTGAAAAGTTTATACACTCAAACCTCTATATAATAACGTCATTTGTCCAGACATATAATATAACATAACATGATCAAAAAATCAGTTCCAAAGAAAACTTGGCCGTTATAGTAAAATTTTATCATAGAGAGGTCTGACTGTACTTCTTTTACATGGTATGACGAGACGTTATATATAGTGTTGTACATTTGTAGGGGCCTCGAGCTACATGGTACGTGCATCAAATGTATTTCACTTCGATACGAGTATTATGCAATGCAAATACATCTGAGTTCTTTAATCCAAGAAAAGATGTACCACTTCCAGAGATCAATCTCCTCACAGGAAACATTAATGGACTTACTGAAGCATTGCCCAAGTCAAACAAGACAATTTTAGGGTTCTTTGCAGGACGATCACACGGTCGAATTCGGCCTATACTTTTCCAACACTGGGAAGAAAAAGATGAAGATATAAGAGTTTACAGCAAAATTCCACCAGAATTATCTTATGATGAAATGATGAAGAGGAGCAAATTTTGCCTGTCCTAGTGGTTATGAAGTTGCAAGTCCAAGAATTGTGGAGGCTATATATGCAAACTGTGTTCCAGTTTTGATCTCACAAAATTATGTGCTGCCCTTTAGTGATGTTCTTGATTGGGATAAGTTCTCAATTCAAGTTTCAGTAAGTGAATTACCAAACTTGAAAAATATTTTACTAGGAATTTCTGAGGAAAGATATGGAAAAATGGTAGAGGGAGTGAGACAAGTGCAAAGGCATTTTGTCATAAATGATCCACCAAAGAGATATGATGTGTTTCACATGATTGTTCACTCCATATGGTAAAGGAGATTGAATGTCAGAATACATGGTTAAATTAAGTTTCTTGATTTCAAATCACAATGCATATGGATTAAAACACTAAAGGGCAGCCCGATGCACTAATCTCCCGTTATGCACGTGGTTTCGGGAAGGATCGGACCACAAGGGTCTATTATACACAACAGCCTTACCCGGCATTAAATTTCTTGATTTCAAATCATAGTGCATACAGATTAAAACACTAAAGGGCATCTCGGTGCACTAAGCTCCCGCTATGCACGGGGTCCCGGAAAGGAACGGACCACAAGGGTCTATTATATGCAACCTTACCCTGCATTTCCGCAAGAGGCTATTTCCACGGCTCGAACCTGTAACCTCCTGGTCACATGGCAACAACTTTACCAGTTATGCCAAGGCTCCCCTTGATAGATTAAAACACTACAATCAGAAATATTGTTAGAAACATTGTACAGAGAGATTAAGAATGAACTGAACTTTCAAAAGCAATGATTCAGACTTTCAAAATGTGAGAAAAGCTGCTATTACAACTTTCTTACATAGTTGCCAGTTTCTGTCAAATAACATAAAATCATCTACAGTTAAAAAATTAAGGGGAAAAAAAATAATGTATAACCTACAATGTATATGAACTGTTTCTAAGTTCATGAAATAATGAACACAATTTTCCCACCTTCTACTCCAAGAATACTGTACATAAAATTTCAAGCATCAGCACATCTTGTTGGTGCATATCCCAGTCTGGACCTTTTGGTGTCATATAAGATATGAAAATTCTGCTGTTGGTAGTTTCCAATTATCGACAAAGCAGATCGAGGAGTCCCTAAAACAGCCAAACAAACGATATCTTCTGGTTCGAGTTTGATGAAGTAGTTCTCTACGGGGAAATTCCATACAGCTCCATCACCAAACACGATTCCAAACGAGGGAAATTCCACGTTCTTCACACCAGACACATTGTAACACGGATTCAGAATAGGAAAGTCTTGTACAACAGGATAGCCCTTAACCTTATTGACGAATGCCTCCTTTATAATCTCATAAGCAGGATCCGCGAAATAACTCAATGTGGTACCTGAATCAATGATTGTACCACCAAGACCTTCTGGCGACAAATTCCACGTCTCCTCGGGTATATTCAGTACCTCTCCTCCAACTATGACAGATTTTATCTGCACATAGTAGAAAGTTTCCACTTCTTTGCCTCCAACCAATGAAGTAAAATTCAACTGTAGATGTTTCAAAAGTTCCTTATCTTCACCAAAAATCAATTTACTACTAACACTAGAATTGCTATTCCTATCAACAAGACAATACGAAAATGAATGACCATATAAAGATTGAAGCTGAGAAGCAAACGAAAGCGGCCCTCTCCCTAATCCTAACAAACCAGCAGCACCATGAAATAATCCTCTATTCCAATGACCACAACCAAACATCACATTTTCCACCTTCCTAAATTCACTCCCACTCGTCGTCGTGAGGTTAACAGTAAACGTTTCAAGCGCGAAATCGCCAGTAGTATTAGAACTATCACCATACCAATAGTAATAAGGACAAGTTTGATTCTCAGATTTACAAAGCTGAGGAGGATCAGGGGATGTAACAAATTTACACCTAGGATCATGACAACTTATATTTCTAAATGAAGTTGAGTCTTTAGGATTATAATGAGGTCCATTTTGTTCAAAACAATCATAACAAGGAACACATTGAATCCAATTAAGATCACTACCAGTATCAAGAATTAAAGAAAAATGCTTAGGTGGTGTACCAACAAACACATCCATAAAATACTCACCAGAGCCAAGACTCACACCTGACTCCAATGTTGCCATTAGCGGAAAGTTCATAAGATTCCGGCGAGGCTGCTGCCGGAGCAATCACAGGCTTATGTTTATTATCATTTTTCTCAAGTCTTGAATTGTAATCCTGATTTTTCTTCTCAACAATTCTTGTATGGAGTGTCTGAATTCTGCTTAAATCCCTTGCTCTTGACGCAAAGACTGAATCTTTAGCCTCAATTTTTTTACCAGCTGATCTGTGCCTTAACTGAAACTTTACAGCTTCTTTTTTCTGGTTTCCAAAAATGGAAACTTCTTCATTTTCTCCATTTTTTACATCAACACCGTCTACTTCTTGAGCTATAGAATGGGTGTTTGATTTTTGAGAAACTCCATAGTTGCAATCTGAGTCAGCTGAAGAAGAAACAGCATTAAAGCTTGGATGGTTAGGAAATTCAATACCTGAAACACTAGAATTCAGCTTTTGGAAACTGTAAAATCCTCCACAGGCAACAAAACCAGAGGAAAACAAGAATATAAACAACAAAATGAAAAGAATGAACTTTGTCCCCATCACTAATACTACTAAAAATTTCTTTAAAATAGTTTTTTCCTGAATGAAATATCCTCAAGAATCCAAAAAAACTGAGTTGGGTTAGAAATGTGGAAGCTGAATGAAAGAGGAAAATGAGGAATAATTTGTAAGGAGAGACAAAGTTAAAGGAAAAAAAAGGAAGGAAATAAAAATGAGGATGATTTGGGCGGGAGTGGCATTTGATTTATTTCTTGTTTAGAAATGATTTTGGAAGAATTTGTTTCGTTTGCGTTTGGGAGAATTGGATTGAAAATTGTTGTTTAAGATAAGATAGATTTGAGTTCAGTGGCGAGACTCAAGGAGGGGGGAGGCGACCAACGATGTTGTATGGGGCTGAGTGTTGGCCAGTCAAGATCGCTCATGTACAGAAGATGAAGGTAGTAGAAATGGGAATGTTGAGATGGATGTGCGGGCACACCAGGTTAGATAGGATAAAAAATGAGGTTATTTGCGACAAGGAGGGTGTGGCACCTATTGAAGACAAGATGCGGGAAGCGCGGCTTAGGTGGTTTGATTATGTGAGGAGGAGGAGCACAGACGCCCAGGTGAGGAGGTGTGAGAGGCTGACATTGGAGAGCCTACGGAGAGGTAGAGGTAGGCCAAAGAAGAGGTGGAAAGAGGTGATTATGCAAGACATGACGCAACTTCAGCTGACTGAGGACATGACCCTTGATAGGAAGGTATGGAGGTCGAGGACTAGGGTAGTAGAGTAGGTAGTCTAGAGTGTTCATAACAGTAGTATTGGTACACAGCTTTCTGTTGGTAGTAGGTTTTTATGATTAACTGTTATTTTCTTTCATTGTTGATCACCTTACTGTCTTGTTGTTTCCATTATTCTTTTATATGGCTTTTTGGTATTGTTCTTTCTTGTCTATATTTTCATTAATGTGGTGCTTATGTTTTCCTGAGCCGAGGGTCTATTGGAAATAACATCTCTATCCTCACAAGGTAGGGGTAAGGTCTGCGTACACACTTTCTTCTCCAGATCCTATGATGTGGGATAATACCGGATTGAGTTTACAAAGAGTGAGGCCTAACCAGAAAATAGATATTTCGGTCAAAGCCTATTTTTAGAAGTATTCAGGCTATTGATAATCAAGGAAATTGATATTCTTGCAATAAGAAAGAAATTGCTGAACTGATGCGTCGTATGTCACTTCAATTTAATGCATGTGACACATGGCAGTCATCGATTGACTTTGTAACTCTGCATCGGGTTTTAGGGCTTTTTTGCGGCTGCTTCAGTCACGCAGTGACAATTTTTCATAATGACGTTTCCATCATTACCTTTTTTGTATGACGGTTGCTTCTACATATAAATACATCCTTTGCCTTTAGTTTTACGAATTTTTTTCTTCAGTGTCCTTTATTCACATCTTGTTCTTGTTCTTCAATACGTTTTACTTCTTTGCACAACTATGTCTTCTTCAAATCCTGATCCTCGAAAAGTCCTCATTGTAGACGAACTTCCCCCTTCTTCTGCTCCTACTAGAAATAGGAGAGGTGGTAGGTTGCGTAGTTTAGGGTCAGTTTCTGTACGTGGTTCTTCTTCTCAACCTAGCTCTACTCCTCCATCTTCTTCTAGAACTAGTGCTTCTTTTCCACACAGGTCTTCTGCTAGAAATAGAGATTCTAACGAACCGCTTCGTGAACCTACTGTCGACGAGATTTATTCCTGCTGAACTTTCTTTTGTCACAGACAGAGAATCAATTAAAATCAAGTTACTTCCATAACTTCTCACGATCGCGCTGATGTCTACCCTTCCCAAATCACTGAGGGTTTATTGTTGTGCGTAAAGATTGTCATTGGAAATTTGACTTCCCAATTCTGGTTCCTAATGAAAATCAAAGGATCACTTCCTTTAAATATGGTTTTTCCTTTGTGTATACATATCCCTTCACATTAGGTTTTAGACCACCTATTGACCCAGCGATCATTGAATTTTGCCGTTTCTTTGATGTATGTTTAGGATAAATTGGCCCTATGAAGGGCAGTGGCATGCCTTAGATATTTGTCAAATCTAGCTCAGTTACCCTTTCTTTTCTCTCTCTCCCAAGTTATTTCGTCATGGCGCGCTAAGAAGAGTGGGCGCTAATACTTTTACCCAATAGTGGTATCGGGGTCAATTTTCACAGGGAGCTAGAAGGGAGTTGGATATTTGCTTAGTCTAGAAATGCGTGTTTGCTTCTAATTGATCTTCTATCATTTTTGGGGTTTTATGATTATCAACTACAATTTAACTACTACTAATTATAACTAAATTATGCTAAGATATTAATTCTAGGTTGTATGCAAGATAGAGAAAGACACTAGGGTCGTGGCATTTACCTAGGTGGTCAACTAACGGGTAGAGATTCCTAATACAAGAATGATGATTATGGGGCTTAAGCTATAACCGTTGCACGATTGCACTCACTCTCACACCTCTCGGTAGAAAGAGTGATTTTGCCCAATTGACTCTCTCGAGACTAATTGGGTAGGCCAACACACCCAAGCAACTTAGGGTTCAAGTTGGGTAATTACTCTCTCGAGGTTTAACCCGTTAATCGGGACTACCATTCTCATGGGTCCATCCCAATTCCTTGTTGGGTTAATTTTGGAGTCATAGACACTCTTTCTCAAGAAGAGTCAAGACCCACTAAGCTAGACTTAGTGTTTGCAACCACCAAATCCTAGTTAAATCATAAAATTAACCAAAATAGCAAACGCCCAACATCATTCAAGCATTAAACAATCACACCCATTAATTACCCACACTAGGATTGAGCCACAACCCTAGCTAATGGGTTTAGCTAGACATAATAGCAACAGAAATTGAAGAAGTAGTAGATAAAATCAACATATTAATTAACTGGAATGTTAATCTACAAGAATCCACGATAAAACAAGATGAAAATGCCCAAAATAGGCTAAAACTTGAGTCTCACGAGTGCAACTACTATCTGATATCTAATGCTTAACCTAAAAATAAAAATATTCTAACTAGGCTAGCTGGACAAAAATACCCATGCGTGGCTGGCACGGACCGTGCAAAAATGCAGCGCGGCCGCGTAGGGGTCTTGGTCCTCGATCACTCACTTCTGAAGCTGGGGACGCGGACTGCGCGAAAAGGTAGCGCGGCCGTGCAGGCTAATGGGCGCGGACCGCGCAACAATGAAGCGCGACCGCGTGGGGCTTGCCTTGAATTTTCAAGCCTCTGAATCTCCACAAGCGCTGACCGCGTAGGAGGAGCGGGACCGCGCATGGTTACCTTGAAATGTATATTCTCTGAATCTCCTAGCGCGGTCGCGCAGCAAAACAGTGCGGTCAGCGCTAGGTCCTCTTATCCCCACTTCAATGATTTTTGACACTTGAGCAGGTTTCACTCCGTTTCGAGCCGATTTTTGACTTTTGTCATCTTGTCGCTCAAACCTGCAATCAAGCGCACTTTGTAAGCATTCTAGGTCTATTTTATGACAATTCATACATAAAGCATAGGCAAGTATGGGCATAAACGCTTGGTAGCTCACAATTTGAATTCTCATCACAAGAGCAGGCCCTTACCCATTGGGAAAAGCCACCCGGTTCGCACAACACATTACCCTTGGAAAGAACCGTGGCATTAAGAAACCAAAGGGCTTATTGAAAACATCAAAACTAAAACAAAAGGCTGCGAGCCTCACTACTAGGCTAAAATCGAAAAATTTGAATGAAAATAGCAAAAAAAACAAATGAATATGTACAATGGGGAGTAGAATATACAACGGGATGAATATATACATAAGAGTGTAAAAGTAGCCAAAGTCAAAGGTTATATATAGGCCAACTATTTAAAAATCCAAAACAATCCAAAACATAGACTAGAAATGAAATAAATATATACAGTCATCCAGTGTATCAGAATCAAAATGGTAGGGCACACCCCCACGAATAAGAGCTGGCATTGTCCCCAATGCCAACTACCAAAATAAGCATAAAAACAGAGAAAAAAAGGATATAGAAAGGCCCCTCAAGCCTGGTCCACATGCGTGGGGTCTCCTGTCGTCCCCGGATCCTCTGTAGTAGCCGGGACCTTAGACTGGTCTCCGACCTGCTGCTGCTCTGCTGCTGGGACATGAGCCGGATCAAGGACAGGCTGAACCACCGGTGGAACACTGGATGTACCCTCCTGAACCTGGGTCACCTCTATCACAACTCCCTCAGTGCTAGGGATTTTCCTCTTCTTCCTCGGCCTGGGGGTCTCTTCCTGGTGTGGCTGAACTGCTGCTGGATCTACAGCTGGGTCCCCGAAGAGTAAGTCAAGTGGCATCTGATCCGCCAAGAGCTTATCCGCATCCTCCCTCAACTTCGTCACTGACTCCTTGGAAGCCTTTTGCTTCCTTAACTTCCTGTGCTCCCTAGCCAGTTTACTCAATGCGGTGCTGTGTGCCCTAGCGTGTCTCCATCATCATTTCCTGGTTGGCCAGGATCTTCTTCAGGTTCTCCTCAATGGAAGGAGGGATCTCAACTGTGGCAGGGGCTGATTGTGCCTGAACTACAGTGGCCAAGTTTGACAACTTGGATGTCGCAGCTGACATCCAGTTGTTCAAACTGGCTAGAGACTGAGCAAGCTGGTGGGTAGTGAACCGGTGAGTCTTCGATGAAGGGACATCCGGGTCCGCTGCAGTAGATGGACCAGCAATAGTAGAAGGGCCGAGGAAATGTCTCACTGGTAGCAGGGATGGTGGAAGGCTCAGTGACTGCTCAATAACCGCTGGCTCCTCAGACTGGCCAGGGCGGTGGAAGTGGCAGCCATAATAGATGCCACTAACACTGCACGGGGAATAGGAACTGTGTGATCATAAGTGGAGGGTCAAGCCTCGCCAAGTGCTGGGCCACCAAGGCGACTCTTCTTTCATTGCCAGTAGGGTAGTTTTACCATATGTTCATTTGCCACGGAATTGCTTGCACATGTGGGTTTAGAGGAAGAAGATCAGAGTCAATAAATTGCCTCTCCGGAATCAATTTTCTTTTGGGCCACCACTCTCGAAATCTGTGGAAGGCTATTTCACTTACAAATCTATCAGCCCATGCTTCGGTTCTTCTATCAAAGCCGGTCCTTTGGAGGTAGGTGAAGTTGAAGGAGAGTCATGCAATTGGAGCGAGAGAGACATGTGAGTGGGAGCAGATTCAGAAGTAATA